TACAGGGGGGCAGCGAATCACAAGAGCAGGCACCGGCAAAAATCACAATGCGGGGGAAACTATGAAGCCCGCCAAAGCCTCTACATAGCTCCATCCCTATTTCAGACATTGTGATAGATCGAAATATCGCAATGTTTAGCTGGTGATGCAGCGCGATGTTGAAAACCAGATATTGTCCAGCCCTAGCAACAAGAGTTAAAAACAGCTGTTTAAAACATTCAAATAATAATTAAAATCAACAACAAGCTAAAAATAGATTAAAACACATGTAAACATTCTACATACCTGGGCACTAGAATATCAGATTCTTATAAACACAGAATGGGTATTATGTGGCACCTGTAAGAGGGCCAGTTTTGCAGATCGAAACAGTGGGCCAATACAGAATAAAGCGATCTCACAGGTAAACTTGCAGGCTTGATTCTCAGTAACTGGGAGCCACTGGTATATCCTGAACGGTGTCCCCAAGCATATTATCTTGCTTTCTGTCATATAAATAAATGGCTACTATCAATTCTTACAAGATAAAATATGCCAGGGGGAGATGGTTGTGATGATGGCAAAACTTCCCTCTACCACAGACCGTGGATGGCTTGTTCGCACATGGGGTTTCTGTGCACACAGAGATGGACTGCACCCACCAGGACTTCTTGCAGTATAAAAGCTCTTCCTCCATGCCAGTGTTTTTCCATCTTGGACTCCCTGGTGCTCTTGCTCTACAGTTTCCATCACCTCCAGCCAGCTGAGCCTGTGGTCAGAGATTATGGGAGTTGCAGCCCAACATCTGGGGAACCCAACACTGAAGAATGCTGTTCTGCACATATAATGCTTGTAATAATGATAGACGTTTTGTTAATTGTCAGATAATCTGGACTTGGCTGTGACTAACAGGGCAGCTTGTTCTGCCGTGACAGCTGCCAAGATCTGCCATGATTTTGTTCAAAGCGATTTAATTTACTGTGGTGGTCGTGGGCAATTCTGTATGAATATAATTCTGCCTTTAGTGTAACTTCTGTTGTTTGTTATTACGGGCTTTCTTTATGTCTCAATTAAGTGGTTCTCAAACTTTCCGCCCTCGGGTAACCTTTTCTGCATCCATTTTTATGCTGATAAATCTCTCCAGATCAAACGTGAAACATTGCAGAGTGTTGTTGTTTTTTTTAAGGGGAGGGGGCGGATTTAGGGCACACTCTATTTACATGAAGTGTAAGGCCTTTTGGTCTTAGCTGTCAGTGCTGCACAAGTAGAAAGCATGTACTCTAGAACAGGATTGAGGGTTGTTGTTTTTTCAGGGGGCCTGTGTTGGATTGCTGTTATGCTGATTCTAACAAATTGCAGATTGTGCTATGTTTTCGTGTGAAAGTGGTTCAACTAAGCCTGTGGTTTTTAAAGCCTTTCCTCCGTCTCCTTTTGATGGGGAGTTGAACTGGTGGCCTTCTGGTTTCTGTGGTGGTGCCCCCTGCTGGTTGAGCCACTTATAGCCATGAAGGGGGAGGACAATATTGAGCTATCTTGGCTCTAGGATGGCTCCACACAGTCTATTAATTCTTCTCCCCACCCACCCCAAACAAACTGTTTTGCTCTGGATCTTTCCCTGAGCAACCATTCAAGTGGGCTGAAATTCAGAACCACCTGCTCTATGTGTTCCCTTCTCCTTGTACAGACTACCTGGTCGCTGGCCGTGGTGCTGAAAGCTGTGCTAAGATACTTTTTACTAGCCTGCAGTTGACTCTAGACCAGTGCTCTTCAACATTGCGGTCTCCAGCTATCATTGGACTACAGTTCCCATCAAGTCAGCTTAGCCAATGGCGAGTGGATGAGAGTTGTAGTCTTCACAATCTCCGGGAACCCTATGTTGAAGAGCACTACTCTCAGTTACCTCTGACCTCAGCTCATGTTGTCCCTCTTCCTTGTCACCCTGATTGGAACCAGGCTTTGGACCAGAACTCCCCCCGCCTCCTCATTGGCCCACTTGTAGGCCTGTCCCAATGTTCCAGCTAGCTTTTGTTCCCTATCCTGGCATGGCTCATGTTCCAGCACTGGTGTGCTCAGCTGCCTGTGCTGGCACCTGTCTTCAGCCAAAAGGGTAAACAGCCCTTCTGTGTGGCATGCGTGTTTTCCCGTCTTATATTATGTAATGCAGTGATCTAATGTGGTAGTGATGCAGTTTCTTTGTGCTAAACGTGCCCGATTCCTTTGACTTTCCTTTGTCAGAGTTGCCATTCAACCCATCAGTGCCTCCTCTTAAAGTGAAACTGCTCCTGCCCCCACCTCCCCAGTTGCTTATAAGCTAGTGTGAGGACCGAGCCCTGGTTTAAACTCTGCCCTGGTCTATGGAGCACAGCTGCCTTTAGTCTTGGAATGTGTGGAAGGGGGGCAAGGGGGAGGCTCTGGATTCACTAGCAGCGTGGAGCGGAAGGGGTTATCTCCGTATCGGGGAAACTCCAGCGAGCCAACGAATGGCTTGCCTCTTCCTCAGGCACTGCGTATGCAGAGTGGAAAGACTCACGTCTTGACAGCTGCAGCAGTTCATGGGAAACAGGAGCATGCCTCTCTCCCTCCTCTCTCCATGCCTGGATGTGGAAGATTCTCATAACTCTGAGAGCTTTTGCACTTATTTTTCTTCCTTTCTGTCATCCCTTGTCCACCTAAATGCAATTTCTTCACCTATAGCAGGTCTCTCCCCCCCCCCCCCGTTCATTTCTAGATGATCGCTCTCTCTCTCACTCACTCACTCACTATTTTTCATGCTCTGCTGAGTGCTGTTGCTTCCTTTCACGGCCCAGCTGCCTGTCTCACTTTGCCTTCATGAAGATTTATGGAACTGCAGTAATAAACTGTGTTTGAGCGATTCTCTTTTCCGATAATCCTCGGGCGAGCGCCCAACAGGGTGGGTGTGATCTGAGCGAGCCTGCAGTCATGTCCAGCCTGGGACCCCTCCCCATCTTGGCGTCGTCCGGCGAGGCACCAGCAGCCGTGCTACGTACCTAGCAAGGTTTTCCAGGATTGCTTTTCGGAGAGGATTCGCCACTGTTTTCTTTTCTTTTAAAAAAAACCTCTTGCAAAGGCCACACTTTTCCTGCCTCACATTTTTCTGAGGAAAAGGGGCTACGGCCTTGTACCTGGTTAGCATCCTCAGGTGTGTCTTCCAGAGAAGAGGCAAGAAGCCTTCAGCTGCCGGTAAAAGGAGAGCGAATGGATGGGTCAGTACAGAAGAGCTTTAATCCTTCACTTGCTCCAGTGAAGCCCTCCAATGCAGCTCCCTTCCTAGAAGGATTTTATCTTGGCATTGCTATGCCTTCTCTTCTGATTCTGGCTTGAGGAGCTCCTGCGCGTGTGAGGCAAGCCCTTTCTTTTTCTTCTTGGTCTGCAGCTTGGAAACTACCTGGTTGGAGTGGCATCGTTCCAGCTTGCTTGGAGCTCCTCCTGAATTATCCAAAGGGTAAGGGAAATGTTTTTCATTAGCCCAGTTTGTCCCTCTGAATAAACGGAGGCCCTGGTGCCTGTAATCTTGGGGTTCCCCTGCCTCCCTCTATGCCACACCCCAGACAGAACTTCACTTTCTGAATCTGATCCCCTCATCCAGCCATCGCTGCCACAAATTTTGAGCCTGGTTGGCTGTTTGGTTCTAGGCAGGGTGTGAGGAGCCACCTGGCTTTCCTTGGGGTAGTTGGTTGCTAGGCAACACCCTTCCCCTGGAACAAAATGGCCGTTTGGGACCAGAACCTGGTGGGACAGAATGAGAGGCACTGCCTGACTCCTTCTCACTGCCACCGAGCTTGCCTTCTCTAAACCAGCAGTGGGGCATAGCCAGCCAGCTGCAGCAGTTGGCAAAAGGATACCCCTGCAGGCCTGAATCTTACAGGTAGGCCATTGCCCTTTTTGCTTGGTCTCATGTAGGCGCTGCTTCACACGTGACAAGGGGGTGTCACTGATTTTCCTATGCAGGGAGTCCAGGAGTTGTGTGCATAGCAAGCGTGCCGTTAACAGGGCTAGGCATCTGTGCTGTAGCATTCACGGTACAAGTTCACATTAAAAGCATAAGGTGTGAAGGATCGTAGGTCAGTGGCAACATCTGCATTGCATGTGGGTGGTCAATCTTTGGACTCTTCAGGTAGGGCTGAGTTCCTTGCACGAAACCCTGGAGAGCTGCTGCCAGTCAGTGCAGACAGTGCTGAGCTAGTTGGACCAATGGTCTGACTCAGTCTAAGGAAGCTTCCTAGGTTCCTAAGCTTTGAAAGCTCTTGAACTTGAGGCTTGATGTTCTTGTTGCAGACCATAGCACTGCCCTGGCATGAAAGTGGTTAAAGCCCACTGTAGTGAGGAGGGAAGGGAGGCAGTGGGGGTGGGGGGCTGGATTAATTTGCTTCTCCATCTCTCTCACTTCCTCTCTGTCTCTTTGCTTCTGCTGCATTGTGGAGAGAGAAAAAGCCCACCATCTCTTTCTTGCTCAAATCGCTTCTGGCATTCCGCACAGAACCCCGGCCATTAGCTGCCGCGAGAGATGCTGAGCCCGGTGAGGGTGGTCTGTAAGCTGGGCAGAGCCTCGGGCAGCTTGCCATTGTTCATGGAGCATGATGGGAACCTGAGAGCTTTTGGCAGCTGGAGGGGATGGGGGGTGGGTAAGAGAAGTTGGCAGCTCCACATGAGAGGGTGGGTAATGGGAGCGAAATAAAGGCAAGATATGGAGGTCTGGTGCGGTATCAGGGAAAAACAAATTGGGGGGGGCGGATGGGTTTCAAGGCCTCTGGATTATTTATGACCTTAATGTTGCGCCACCGGAATCACTTTCAGGATTTAGCCACAGCAGCAGATGCAGGACACCTGCCAAAAATCCAGATTCTGCCCAAAGGCCCAGTTCATTCCTATCATAATCGTTTAATTTGCATGACATGAAATGAGAGTCTGTTTTGTTCCAGTGCACTTTGGTGCACGAGTTGGAAAATCCAAATCTCTCCCCTCCCTCCTTTCCTTGAACGTGGGATGCAGTCCACTGGGAAGGGGCCATGGCTCAGAAGAAAAACATTTGCCTTGCATGCAGAAGGTCCCAAGTTCAATCCCTGACATCTCCAGGCAGGCTGGGCTAGGCTGGGAGAAACCCTCTGCTCGAAATCCTGGAGAGCTGCTGCCAGTCAGTGGAGGCAACACTGAGCTAAATGGATTGCTGGTCTGACTCAATGTTAAAGCAGCGTCATATGCTCCTGTACTGTACAAGCACCATTCTTTGAATGGTGCTTGCAAAGAAGGTTTTATCTGTTTTCCTTTCATGTTTTAAGGAAATAAAGAATGGGGGTTGGGAAAAGCCTTTGGTGAACAGATGGCATAAATACCAGGTTCAGAAGAATAGCATCATATTGGGGCTTCAGTCCATCACATAGTTAAATGTGTTTAAATCTAGTTGCTATTTCCCCTGGAGTTAGCCCCAGCATCAAATCGGGGCTGTGGCACACAATTTGCTTCAACATTTCAAAGCAAAATATGCAAGTTTCCAGCCCTTATGGCTGCACAGAAAATAACCTCAGAAGAATCTGGGCAACAAGAAATCTGGGCAGTGGTCATTAAACCACTCAGGGAGACTTAACACTTGCTGTCATCAAGGCTTGAGTGTATTGCACACCTTTTTGGCCCTTCTCTATAAGCAGTACAGGGAGTAAAATGGGAGTAAAACCCACATAAGAAGCTTTGCGTGGTTTACACCATTTGCAGAATTTGTTTCTTCCTTAGCCCAAATATGGGTGCCTTCTTTGGTTGCTGCACCTTGAGGACTAGAAGACTGACACAGAGCTGGAATCCTGAGCAAGGAGCAGTCCCTCTGCTCTAGAGAGGTAGAACCACCTTGGCATTGTTACATTTCTGAGCACAATTCAAAGTGTTGGTGCTGACCTTTAAAGCCCTAAATGGCCACGGCCCAGTATACCTGAAGGAGCATCTCCACCCCCGTCGTTCAGCCCAGACACTGAGGTTCAGCGCTGAGGGCCTTCTGGCAATTCCCTCACTGTGAGAAGCGAAGTTACAGGGAACCAGGCAGAGGGCCTTCTTGGTAGTAGCACCCACCCTGTGGAATGCCCTCCCATCAGATGTCAAGGAAACAAACAGCTATCTGACTTTTAGAAGACATCTGAAGGCAGCCCTGTTTAGGGAAGTTTTTAATGACTGATGTTTTAATGTATTTTTAATCTTTTGTTGGAAGCTGCCCAGAGTGGCTGGGGAAACCCATCCAGATAGGTGGGGCATAAATAATAAATTATTATTATAATATTATTATTGTGATTGGCCAGACACCTGACTTAGAAAGCCGTAGGTGGGATAGACCATTAACCAATCAGAGCAATGAGAGGTCCTGCAGTATGGTAGAGAAAGATGGGCCAGATCCTGCACTTTTAGGTTATCCACAATAGCTCGCTGAAGAGTTCATCCTTGCCCAGGTGACCCTGCCTGGTCAGCTTTCCCCAGGAGCATCATGAAATACCATTTGGGGCATAATGGGAAGGCATGATTGAATGAGCTATGATGCAGCAGATGGAAAGGGTGGGCACCCTGTATTTGGAGTGAGTCTCCATGCAAAGCAATGTGGCCAAATTAATTTTTTTCTCCCACTGCTCTCTGATCATGATAACCCCAATCTCTAATTTTCTGCATTGGGCTCTTTCTCAAGTTCTGAATAGATTTCAAGCTCCCACTCCTCATCCTTAAACTCTCCACCTATACTGTAAATGGGTTAACCAAATTATATCCCTATCTTTCTCCCTGCTCAGCCACTTTGCCTCTTGTTCCGACCCTTCCACCTCCTGTTAGGCTGCTGCAACACCCTCCCCTCTCAGTTTTTCTGTCTCCTGTCTCCTGAAGACCCACTTCTTCAAATCACCTTAGGTTCCTCTCCATGGCTACCTGTCCTCCTCTTCCATCTCCCATTAGCCATTTGTTCAGTTCCTGTCACCTTCCCTTCATTTCTGTTTTGATCATTTCATGTAGATTGCAGAGTCCTTTTGCTTTCAAACTCCCACCCACCCATTCCTGGGCATAGTCGGGGGGGGGGAGCTGCTCCCCTAATCAGTAAAAATCAATAAAAATACATCGCTAATGCAGGTTCTGCCCCTCCCAACAAAAGGCCTGCACCCCTAACAAAAATCCTGGCTACGCCCATGCTCCTATGCCCTTTGCAGCTGCGTGATTGACAGGAGGAGACTTAGCAGGGGGAGCCTTTTCCCACTGCTCCAGCTCCATGCCAGGAAAAGGTTCCCCTGGCAGCTTTCCGTTTGTTGTGGCAGCTTTTAAAGGAACAGGTGCCACGCTCCTGCCAAAAATAAGTTGGCAACACAGGCTGCGTACACGGGGTTGACACATTGCCATCCGTTCTGTGCTAAATCTCTGCATTTTTGTGCTGTACAGCAATGATTGCAGTCACTCAGCATTTGCAGAGTGCTCTCTCCTCTCCCCCCCACTCTTCCACTGGAGGATTTATCCATTCGGTTCTATCCATCTTCGGCTGCACTTTTATCTTTCTGCAGCAGATGCCAAAGCTGCAAGGGAGGGATGCTGCAAAAGGGGGCGGGAGGACACGGCCCTCTCAGGTTAGCCTTGCATCTCGAGCTCTCACCTGCCTCTTATGCTTAACTCAAGGTTTCTCCTGCTCCTTTGCAAGGTTTGCCCCCACCCCGCTTTCAAATTGCCACCTGCTGGGTTTCAGGGCAGAGCTGGGTACTAACTGCTCCACCTGTCCTGGTTGTTTTGGGGGAAAAAACCCAAGGCTGGCCGTAGACAAGGGAAGCTTGTGGGAAGGAATGGTTATTTATTAATTTTTTTAAAGACAACAAACAGCACCATGGTTGTCCCGTTTTGCAGTTAGCACAAAAGGCCTTTAAGAGAGAGGAAAAAAGAAAATCGTTCTCTTTAGCAGTCAGGAGAGCTGGCATGTTCCACCATCCGAGCGTGTAATTAGAGAGAAGGGAACTGCATGCTGATGCTTTAGCTGTTGGGGTTAAGAGGGAAGGAAAGAGAGTGAGTGAGAGAGAGCTCATAGTGTAGCCTTCTCCAGGAGCATTGCAGCACAGATTCCTAAGCAGATTCCTCAGGGAGAAATGTTTCAACTACACACTCCGTCTCCCATCCCCTGCTGCTGATTTCCAGAAGGTCCACAGCAACCATCTTCTGTGCACTTACCTGGGAGTTGGACCATTCGAACTCTGCAGATCTTACTTCTGAGTAGGCAGGCTAAGGACCAAGTTTCAGTCTCCAGTATCTCCATGTAGGGCTTGTGAGAGAGCCCCGCCCCCTGCCTGCCAGCCCTGATGAGTGACTGCCAGTCAGTGTAGCCTTTATTAAGGGTTAGACTCTGCCTAAGGCAGTCCCCAACATGTTCCTATGTTGTGTGCTTTTAATTGGTGCTGTTGTTAGATGGATCAGCCCCACATTCTGAAATGCTGCTTCAGGGTCATTGCCTGTCCTGGCCATGTGCTCTGAGCTACCATATATGCAGAGTTCTGATGTAGCCCAGTGGATAAAAAGGCTGGAGTTGTGACTGGAAGTCCTGAGATCTAATCCCGCTTCAGCAATGGACTTGGTGTTTCCACGCTCTGTTGTAAAATGAGGCTGAAACCTCTGGAGGTGAATTTGAGGTGGGGAGCAATCTAAGGATGCTAAATGATGGTCAGACTTTGAGATCCTTGTTTCCGTTCACTTTGGTCTGAAGATGCTGTAGCAGCTGGGAGTGAGGTCTAGAAGAGCCCTCTGTGGCAAAAGAGGCACTCTGCATGTGTATAAAAGCACCCTTTTCTGTTTAGGACATCACAGCATATCTTTCGGGATTGAGATTTTACATTGGAAGGAAATTTCTGGGGCTAAGCCCTCGTGAAATGGACAGAGGGGGGACCTTCATTCTTGGGCGGTGCACAAATATTGTAAATAAATAAAACTGTGGTGCCTTGTGAGTCCCTCCTGCCCACCCAACAAAGCTAGATCAAAGCCATGTTGTACTTTTTTCACAGAAAGGCTCACTATTTCACTGAAATAGGGGGGTGGGGGTGGAACGCAATGCAAATTCTGTAGTCAGAAAAACCAGTTTTGGCAAGTGAGGAGGATAAAATGGTGCAGATGTTTTCCATTATGCAAATGACATCTGATTGTGGACAGAATTACTCTTCAGCATCAGCAGAAGCAGTGATGGTTTACCGGAGATACTGATACCAGCGCTAGCTCTGGTACTTCTAAAGCTTTCCGTCTCGCTGCCCCTTAATCAACTCCCTTGTCTCTCTTTACATGCCTTCTTGCTCCGCTGCATTGCCCAAGATCATCTACTGTCAAATCTCTTTTGTCCGTTACGCCAAGACCTGCTTCCAAAGGACCTTCCCCTCTGTGTTGTCATCCTTGGGCATCTCCCCTCCCTCTCTTTGCTGCCTCCCCTGCTGTCTAAATTTAGACTGTAAACTCCTCGGGGCACGGACCTGTCTTTCCTACTTACGTTACTCTGTAAAATGCCATGGTGCAGTGATGGCATTATATAGCTCTCTTGCTTTATTTCATTTTTTTAAAGCCAGTGTCCAAAATTATATCATACTCTAGGAGCTGCGAACTTGCGGCTCCCATGATTCCTGACCATTAGCCAATGTGTTTGGTGGTGGTAGGAGCCTCCATCCCTGGTCTAGGCAGAAATTCATCATTCCTGTGTCCTGAGTATACAGCATCTCAAACACTCTTGTCTTGCATAGGAATATAGGAAGGTGCTGTTGTGGACTGGTTGGGCGCAGAAAAATGGTGGAAGGAACCAGCTGGGGAACCACCAAAGGAAGAAGACTCAGAGCCCAGGGAGTTGTGGTGGGACAATGTGATGAGTGGTCAGAGGTAGAAGAGAAAGAAGACTGGGAAGAGGAGGTGTCAGAAGCTGAAGAGGTAACTGGACTTAGTGAGCAGGGAAAGTCGGTAGCAGAGAGAAGTCCAGGATCAGAGGCAGAAGCTGAAGGCAGCAAGTGGGAGGAGGGAAGCCAAGAGGCTGAGATGAGTCAGGCTGATGAAGAAGTGTGGGTGTCTTCCCCTCCTGCTGTGACAAGCTCCCCTCCCCACTTGTCTCCCAGATCCA